GTTTAGAAATCACATCATCACATACCTTGAAGCCTGAAGTTTAAAATGACACATGCAAATATTTGTCACCAAAATTGCTATAGTAACCATTTCTCACGTACACAACACTAGAAAATTTCACATTAAAATAGCATTACTTTCACAGACATTTCACATACAGGAAAATTAGGAACTCATGAAAATAAGTATCTATCATATATCATCCACTTCTAATGCAGATTTGAACGGCTGCCAAGAAAAGGGACTGCTATATGTCAAAGCCCTGCATGCGGAGTATGCTGACATGAGGGAGAAACCATGGTGTGACAGAGAAAGGCTAGCGAGCGAACTCAACCACAGGAAGAAGGCAGCTGCTAGACTGAGACACAGTTGCACTGAATCCCTACTAAAAAACAATCTTGCATGTTGTTAGTGGTTTTACTGAAGCAGGATTTTCTAAAAGAGCATTGTCTTCCTTCCCGGTAATACTAAATCCAGTTTTCTAAAATTCCCCACGGCATTAACTTTAGAGTAGGAACTAACTTCTGTTCTTTGAAAAACATCAATAATTTCACTACATTCAATAGGAGATGTATGGTCAGAATTTGTTTGTACAGAACTACTGTAAGGAAAATAAACTCTTCTGATGCAGATCAATTTAAATACATATAAACATTTTAAATAAGAAAACATAGGTACACCAGGAATTTTGGCGTGACCCAGGAACAAGAATCTAAATTTCATAAAAATATTTAATATTGGAGCACCTGCTGTTTTATAAAGAAACTTAGCTCACGTGATATTTGATACTGCTTTAAGTAGAAAAACAGAATCATGAAAAGGAACTCGGTCTTTAAAGGTTATGCTAGGAATTACACAGTTTTTGATCATGTTCTCCACTGTCACACATATAGTAGAACAACAAATATCAGAATTGAAATATCAAATGAATATCAAATACCATGAATTCCAGTAATATGATCAGCAATATAAAGATTTTTTTTACTTTAAATAATATAAAATGAAATTATCTTTCATAATTTGTTTTTGAAGAAAATGCTCAGTAAATTCAAAGATAAAGAGATAGGAAGGGTTATTGATCTGTTACAAATATATTTGTATGCAGTAATGATATACATGTTGAGTAAAGATGGAGGGTACTTTGTAAATATCACTGCAAAAAAGAACAGGTGTTAATGAAACACTAAGTGCAAAAAGGATTACAATTGTGCTTTGATCTTAGCATGGACTTATATGGCCAGCAGAAGATACATGACATCAGAAGCTTTCTAAGTGTTTCTTTTGTCTGCATGGAAATTTTGTTCTTTGAAACCAGGAAGCCATTACTTCAGCCAAAACTTGCAATATTTTTCATTTTGGATTTTTCACGGGTATAATCAAGATTAGAAAGACTACTTACTATCATGGCTAGTAGAAATTTCCACCTTTGTTTTTTAACGGGAAACTGAGAAGTTTTACTTATTCTACCTGTATGTGAACAGTTTCTGTTTATTGTTAATAATTTAAAATTCTTCAAAGAACAAAAAGAGAATTTTGAGTATTTTCAGCTAAAGCTTTAAAGAAAATATTCTAAAATGCTATCCTATCTGCATCTGGGTTTCAGTTCAAAAAAGTACAGCCTACATACTGATTCATAGGATATTCAGACATTAATATAACCTAGGGAGCGATTCAGTAGACTGGTTATTTATTAGGTTTAGTAGCCTCCTATAATCAGGATCTGCAATTCTTGGTGGTGTGAATGCATACAATTAGTGTCATTTGAGAAGTTTGCAGGGTATCCAGGACAGCTGCACATGACTGACAGATACAACAATTGACCAACGGGAGACTCGAACCCTTGTACAAGTAGGAGCCAGAGGCTTGGTCCTGGATCATCTCATACAACAACAGATGCTTCTGTACGGGCAATGAAAGTCAGCCTACGAGATGAAAACCTCTCTAGGTGCACTATGTATTGAGCTGGCCCTTGCTGACTGTGAGCAGTGGTTAGACACCTCCCTCACGTATCAACATCCACACTCAAACATCCAGGCTGAGGCATTGTAGTCGAGAGCTGAACTCCTCTCTGAATGGCTCATGCCATTATGACTTCCTCCTCTGCATCTTTCCAGAAGTTATTTCTGAACTCCATCAGGCAGTCAGGACAYGTAATTAAGTACATATCCTGCTACCACAAAAAGAGCATTCTGAATTAAAAAAATGAGGAAAAGGCAGTATTAAAAATAATGGCAATCATTGCTTAGAAAGAATAACAATAAAASAACAATGGCAAAGAGATTAAGATTTGCACTAGGAGCTACTACAAAATTTATGATCTAGGAATACTCATCCTAAATCTTGAGGGTACATAGTCCTACTACCCTGTAATTATTAACTTGATAATCCAGGGCACAGAGACCATGACAGAGTTTCCTAGGGTTTTTTAGGTTTTCTTATGCTTTGTGCTCCTCTTATAACAGTGACAAGATTCCTCTGCCCTTCTGATCTTAAAACTCAGCACTAGGGACTACCATCTTGTTTGTTTTTGTTATTTATGTTGTTTTGGTGTTTGCTACAGGCCACCTGATCAGGATGAGGAAGTTCATGAGGCCTTCTACAGAAAGCTGCAAGTAGCTTCATGGTCACAGGCCCTGGTTCTCATGTGGGACTTCAACTACCCTGATATCAGCTGGAAAGACAACACAGTGAGGCAGAARCTGTCCTGGAGCTTCCTGCAAAGCACTGATGATAACTTTTTGACACAGATTGTGGGGGAGCCAATGAGGAGAGGTGGGCTGCTGGACCTCATACCAACAAACAGAGAAGGACTTCAACAAGGGCAAGTGCAAGGTCCTGCACCTGGGGAGGAATAACCTCAGTCACCAGTACAAGCTGGGGACTGATGTTCTGGAAGGCAGCTCTGCAGAGAAGGACCTGGGTTCAAGTCAACCATGAGGCAGCAAGGTGCCCTGGTGGCCAAGAAGGCCAACGGGATCCCTGGGTCTATTAAGAAGAGATCGAGGGAGGTGATCGTCCTGCTCTACTCAGCCCTGCTGAGGCTACGTCTGGAGTACTGTGTCCAGTTCTGGGCTCTCCGGTACAAGAGAGATGTGGAGCTACGGGAGAAAGTCCAGCACAGGGCTACAGGGATGATCAGGGGCCTGGGACATCTGCCCTATGAGCAAGGGCTGAGAGAGCTGGGCCTGTTCATCCGAAGAGAAAGCTGAGRGGGGATCTGATCAGTGAATCTTAAGAGAGGGAGTGAGGAGGATGGGGCCAGCCTCTTTTCAGTGGTGGCCAGTGATAGGACAAGAGGAAATGGCCATAAACCGAAGCATCGAAAGTTCCACAAAACTTGAGAAAAATTTTCTTGACAGTAAGGGTGACAGAGCACTGGAACAGGCCGCCAAGAGAGGTTGTGGAGTCTCCTTCTCTGGAGATCTTCAAAATCGTTTGGACGCAGCCAGCCTCACATACTCTACGTAATCCTGCGTGAGCTAGGATGATCTCTAAAGGTCCCTTCCAACTTTAGCAATTCTATGATTCCATAATTTTGCCTACAGCTATTACAGCTACATAAGTTTATAGCATGTAGGGAATACAAGCTCCAGAGATACAAGCTCCAGAGACACTGTTTACACAAACTAAGCAAGAGACACTGTCTCAAGGGACTGAAATGAGTGAGGTGGACTTCCAAATCCAGAGAGAGAGGACATGGGTGGCAGCACAAGTCCACATCAACTCTACAGATCACAGGCTCACATCACAACCTCAGCTCCTCTGAAGAGGCCATTCAGAGCAAGAGTGCCTCACAAAAGTTCAGTCTCTTCACTGGCACCCATGGATAATTTTGTTGGTGCAGGCCACACAGCAGCCTACTGAGAAACATGAGTACTATGGCAGGGTGGTTATTTCAAGTATCATTTAGACTACTTATCTAATACAGTTTAATGGATTCTGGTATCCTGCAGGGAGGGTGTCAAGAAACGTTACAGCAGGGATATTAAGCATTTAAACTGAGTGGGCCAAAATCCTTCAAAATACTAGAACTGGCATTGAACAAAAAATAATGCTTTGGAACAAAAAAGTCTGAAGAAACTATTTCATTTCTGCAGAGAACAAAAAATAGCTGTCAAAAAAAAAGGGTCAATTATGGGCAGTAAAGCTCTGATTTATAATTATGAATCTGAAATATAAACAGACATCCTGACAGAAAGCCTTCACAGCTGGTTTGGGTAACTCTCTTGGTTAAAACAGGCCCCCAAACCAGAGTTTACCTCCCATAATGCAGCCTTGGTTAACAACTGCTACAATTTTCCAACCAATTTTCACTAAGTTTCTATTGGTTATTAGCTGCTTTTCTTTCTCTTCCATTGCTCTTTGATATTTCTACTGCTTTGCAACTCAGATGCTTTACATACTTTTTTTTGTTATATCATGTATTTTCCTCTTTCCTAGTGCATTATTAGATTAGAAAAGAAGACAGATGCCTGGTCTTCCACATCTTTAATTACAGCTTGCACAACAAAGAGTTCTGCTGTTCTTAAAGTAGAACTAATTCAAGGAGTGCACACAATTAATCAAAATAGCTAGTAGCACAATATTTAAAATAACTGAGGGCTGCATGGATTCTAGTGACATTACTAGTACGTGATTAATAAGCAGTTGAAGTGTTATATTTGCTACACATTTGCTAAGTTATTTTATCTTGCTTTAAAGTTAGGTGGCAAAGTTTCAAGTCACAGTTAAGAGATTTGCTCTATTCAGTATTATGTCGTTAACCTCACCATCTGGTCAAACAGCTGAGGGAACTCAGACCACCTTATGGGAATCCCATGTTTCTTTCTTGGGAAATACTTGGCTTACTGAATTATGCAATGGTTACCAGTTTCTAACTTTTCATAGTGTGATCCAAAAAAACCCCAAAACATCAAAATACTTTGTAAATAATCTGGGTTGCATGGACCACGTATTTTGTCCCAACTTTTGTAGTAAAAATAAGATGAGTTGTCACTTACTTGAGGACCAGGTTGACCCTGAAAAATAAGAAAAAGATAAGGTTACAGAAAGTTATGGAAAGGATTATATTACTTAAACAGTAGGAAATAGTTATAGCAATTCCTAATAAGAGGATAACAAAATCCACTAATTCTAATGAAGCCAGATCCTGGACTCCTAACTCTATAACCAATTTGAATTAAAAACATACTAATTTCAYTGTAATCAACTCTAAAAAAAAATATGGTAACACATTGTTGAAGTTGTATTTGAGAAATTTGATATGTTTAATAGACAAAGCAAGGCAATATATAATTGAAGGAAAAGTCTGATTTAACCATTCTCAAGTCTGAAAGAATTTACAGACATTAAAGCGACTTAGAAGTAGATATTAGGTATTTTCCCTCTATTGTGGTTCACCTTCACGTTTCAAGGAGATGCTAATTCCTGACTACTAAAGGAACAAAGCCTGGGAATCAGAGGAACACACTCCTGGGGAAACTATACAGTCTTTCTCTCATTGTTGCAATGAGCACAGTTTTAAACTAGTACAGTTTTAAACTAGCATAAACCAATACGCTTAAACTAGCATAAACTAATATGCTTTTAAACCTGTAAAGCAGTGAGGCCCAAAGCCTGGCTAGTGCCAGAGGTATCTTGGGAACATACTGATCCATTTCTTCTTTTCTGTTGATAAGAAAGACTTATCCACAGCTCCCCTGGGCCCACTCAGGCCCGACATTACAATGTTCCAAGGCCTTCCAGAGCAGACTTCCTGCTACTATGGCCCCTAGCCTAGGGAAGGCACTGAAAGCCATCCGTAATTCTGCCCCTTTTGTTGTAAATTATTTGCATGAAGCAGAAATAGGTTACAAAACAGCAGCATAGGTGTGATTATGCACTACAACCTCACAATCACCTGTAAGGTAGAAATAATTATTTTAAAATATTTATGTTTTTCTTTATAAAGAAAAAATATTTATACTCTTGGCTGGCTTCACTACTGGTGTTTCATGGTACATCAGCAACATTTCAGAAAATATTTGGGAAACAGAAATAACATTACAGAGGAATTTCAATATAACCTCAGAATTATTATGGCTAACCAGTTTTTAGATTGAGAGAAGCCCCAAACATTTGTTATTAGGGCTAAAATTTTGCAATAATTGCTTAAATAAAATTGCACTATACAGTTTTTCGGGCAATAAATAAATAAATCAATCTCCTGGTTTCAGTATGAACTAACGCTTCCTGAATTGGTCAGTTCAATGAGTTTATACACAACATCGAATTAAAAACAGTGATTCAAATAACCCAGCATTTGGTCTTTACTTCAATCTACCAATCATAGCAGGTTTTAAGTCATTATATGTTAACGTCTGCTCCTAAAATCATTGGGAAATGTTTATTGATACAGTATTGGGAAATCTGTACAATAAATAAATATCTGTATGAACAGACTGAGACCTATACATGCAAACTTTTAGAAACAAACTCACAATACGTTTGTCTCACAAATCTAAAACCAATACATTTTAACCAACTCAAGACTTCTGCAAGATACATAAAAATGTAGACACTATTCTGATACAATTCTGTAGATACAAAATGCTTAAGCAAGTTGGCTTAAAGCAACAAAACATGTTAATAGAAAAAAAGAGTCTGAACAAAGAGATCTGAATGTTGACACTTCAAACTCTAACTTAGATGTACAGGTTAGTGTGTGCACAAGGTCCATGCTGTGTATAAGACAATGGAAATATATCCCAAATTATAGATCAAGAATATAATAATCTTCCCATGAAACTATCTTCTGTTCATGATCTCAATGGCACCTCCAGTCTGTCTGTCTGTTGCTGTACATGTAAATTACTCTTACCATTTCTACGATAAGGACACAAGAAAGCCAGAAAGCAAATTTTTACAGGACTACTATTTTTCATTGTGACATAGAACTCTGAGACATGGGGAATATAAGAGCTGAATTAGTTTTCATATGTATATAGATTGCTGAACATGTAGTTATCCATCAGTTAAATGTAAATACACGACAAATTGAAAAGTACCCACAGCAGATTTTTTTGATCCTGATGGCTATGAGCTCCTTAAACCCTGAAGGAACTTTCCGGTAGTAAACATAATTATTTTCTGTTTTTTGATGGCTTAGTCCTTCAGTATTTCTGTACACCCTTACATACTTCTTGCGCTACCACCTAGCAACTGCAGTTAAAGTTTCCCTTCACAGTGATGTTCTGCTAATCAGAAGAGGTACTTAGGAGAGGATGCATCAAGCAGTATATTCTGCAACTGGTCAGTTCTGCTTACAAAGGTACCAGCAGAAGGAGTCATCACAATGCTGACCTTTCTCTTTGTAAGGGATTGTTAGCATTTGTGTTGCAGTGGGCACAACTCACAGTGAGGGAGACAGTGGCAGTTCATTTCATCTTCTCCCATGGTGTGTGTTGTTTAAGAACAACACCATAAAAGAACAAGAGAAATAAATAGCTCTATGTAACGTATTCTTGCTTTCAATAAAATAAATTTTGAGAAAATCCATGTCAAATACGATCTAGTACTGTAACTGTTTTGAGGAAGCTCAGTCTCAACCCCTATGGTTTCAGGACTGCCAAAATCGATACGCTTCAATATTAAATTATACTTAATGCTTGTTACTCATATATTAAGGGTTTTACTTGGAAATAATTCTCTTAATTTTAGATTTTAAAAAAAGTCTTTAATATTTTTAACCTAAGAATCTCAGTGGTGCTTTTTTTTGTCTGAGTTTATGTTTGAAAGTAAAAGAATGAACTAAGTTACAGGCAAGAAGGCATCAGAAAACAATTTGCCATCCCCGTATGAAACTCTGAAATGAACACAGACAACTCTCTGGATGGTCTGCATTTCATATTACTTATTTTGGATAGGAAATAGGAAARAAAAGCACTTTTTTTTTTCAGTCCGTTTCATTTACTAACTTGTACTTATCAACAGACTGCTGTCCCCTCCAAGCATTTACAACCCACTCCCAACACCAGTAATCAATTAGCTGCATCCCAATTGCCGCATTTAATGCATGTATCATTGCTCACATACTTGATGATTCACTTGCTAAAAAAAAAAAAAAAAGCATCACTACTGTAGGTTTATCTCCTTAATATTTCATGGTTTCAACAGAATCTTTTCCTTTCTATTTTCCTATTCTGACTTAATACATTATTTTGCAGGAAAAAATAGGTGTTCAATTTGGCAGCCTATTGTGATTATTTTAATCAAAGATTTTACACGGTTGGTAAATAATCTCATTCTTGCAATTTAACCTGATGTTAGTTGCTGATATGCAAGTGACACTGAAAGGAGAGGATAAAGGCAGGTAAAAAAACAGGTAAAAAAAAAAAACAGGTAAATTATTACTCTGCTAAAAAAAAAAAAACAGGTAAATTATTACTCTGCTAGATAAAAAACCAAAACCGAAGAAAACTATTGATTTAAAGCAGGAAGGTTACTTAGCAGTTGTCTATAGCTCATCTCCATTTCTTTGGATGGCACATAAGACTGAAGAGGCTGTTTGGTGCTTTTTCTTAAGTCCATAGTATTGTGGTTGAAACAAGTTATGCAAAGTAAGCCAACATGTCATTAATGCACGTTCTAGCATGAGCAATTCAAAAGAGAAAGAGGGAATATTTGCAAGACCTAAATAATACTGGTTTTGAACAGATCACCTACCAGCTTTCCATCCATACCAATCGGGCCCTAGGATAATCAAAAGCCAAACAAAACGAAACAGTTAAATCAGAGGAACGCTGATGCTGAGGAAAACAGACAGATGTGTGGAAGGCTGCACATGTTTAGGAGAAGATTTACTCTATGTGAGCAATTAAATACAATAAAGATATTCTCTTGAAGGCACAAAGAAGGAACAACAGAAGCAGCAGACTTTGGTGAGTAATAAGACAAAACAATATCACAGTAAAGAGGCTGTAGCAGGTATTCAGCAAAAGGTTCAATATGCAATGAAGGAATTTTAAATTTGGCACATCGCAGCCATACTATATATATACCAAATATATGAAATAATGCATCTGGCTCATATATTTCTTTTAAATGACCAGGAAAACATAATATGGAGTCTATTTATGGAATGATCTTATTGTAAAAATGTATGCTATCAGTAGATATGCACTGTTATTATTTAGACTATTCTCCAAGACATTCAGAAGCAAAACTGTGTATTTTTTGGAAAAATATCTAATGCAGAAACAAGTATTTACTTAGCACTAAATACTTAATTAAAATCCTAAAATGTACAGAGACATCATGTGGGAGGAAAGGCGAGCAAATATTATTCACCTTTGTTTTTGTTTAAATTTCACTCTTCAGAAATATTTTAAAATGCAATACATCTCCAAGAAATATATTTTAGTCAAATTTTGAGCACTAGTTGCTTTGAACACAATAGTTGTTCTCCATTTAAATAGTTTTTTTCTATATATGGGTTGTCCTATAGGTAAATATTTAAAAATCTTACTGAGATTCAATCTCTTGCTGAGATTAAAAAAGGAGGCGAACAAGTAAGAAAAGAGAGTTTCTATCAAAAGAAAATTAGTTCTATTACTTTAAGCAGCTKTATTATAATAGATTTGTTTCAGGAAATTCTGAGTGAAAAGTGAAGTTTTAGACATGACATCACACATGCAAATACATTATGTGATGAAAAGTGTCTTCTAATGGAAGGAAAAAGAGGAAAATTTACATTGTCTTTTTCCTTTAATTTCCCTACTAATCTGTCAGTGATCCTTTTAATGTCAGGAACGCTCATGAGAAGGCTGCATTCTGAAACCAGAAGGTACACGTTATTTCTTCTTTATAAACAGTAGTTCTTATTTTCTATACATCTCAAAAGTTGTTTTAATAAAATGGATAGGCACATTTAGCACTTCATAATTTCAGTATGTTTATACTTAATGGAAGTATTTATATTAATATACTTGTTTTAAATACATTTTCTATGGAAAGACTGAGAGATAAAATAGGGACATCGCAAACTATTTAACTTCTAGTTTTCTGTATAAATTACAAACTCATTCCTTTTCCTTTTTCAATCCTAAGGATTGTGCCTGCCTGAAGTATTCTGTGAACAAAAACCAGTAACCAAGTAACACTTCAATAAGAGACTTTGGTAAGACCATGATTTAGCATTCAGCTGTCCAAAAAAACTACACTTTAAGGTATCTTCCAGGAAATTCTTGAAAATCTTTTAGATGATATATTCAGCACAATTTTAAACTACACGAAAGATTATCACAGTACCATTTTGGAACTCTGCTTCTATCCTGAATACATTATGTGACTAATTATTCTATTTTCCTAAATAATCTTCAGTAAGCTAGACTGCTAAACTATTACATTCAACTGTTTGAAAACTCCTGCGCAAACACGTACATAATAGGACGTATCAAAACCTCAAAGTAGGAATTTAGCTTTACAGCAGGTGTGCATGCTTCATGACAGTTACTGTCAGAGCAACTTCAAAATACGTATGCAAAACAAACAAAAAAACAATAGAACGCAATAGTAGCTTTGCAAATCAAAGGTGTAAAATGACATGTTTCCTTTTCCATCACCTACGTTAATCAAGATTGATAGAAGTTAAAAAATGTATATATATAGTCATATTCCCTCATCATGATAACATTTCAAAAGATAGATATCCACTTGTCTTTCCAAACACCCCCCACCCCCATTTAGTTTAGTAAGGCTGACTTTAATTATGTATTGTAATGTCATTTCTTAGSAAGTCTAAGTAGATTTCTCTTTAGTGAGATTTTTTTCCTCGTTTATTTGGGCAGTAAGATGAGTTCCTCAACTAGCTGAATTTCACCTACTGATGAAATATTATTAGTTCTTTTCCAATGACTTTAAGAGAAGTTAAGCATAGTGAAAGTGAACAGCTAAGAGAAAGAGTCACTTGCTCCAGGTCTTGGAGAAAGGGAATGTTTTAAATCAACCTTCACCAAGTCTCTCTAGCCAAGTCAGGACATCACTGACAAACCCAAACAGTCCAGATTATTTKGGATGGAGGAAATCTCACCGTGAAAAGGATGAACAAGGGAGCAATACATGCGTTTTCTATGCAAGTCTAAAACTATTTTGAAATAAGCCTGAAAAAAAAATACCCCTCTACTCCAAAAAGAAAAGCACTGACCAGGATGAATGAAAGTACTGCAGTACCATCCAATGGAAGTTCATTACAAAATTTCTCAAATTCTTCTCTAAAGCACTATGTATTAGCTATTGAGACATAAAGGTCAGTTGGACTGACAGTAAAGTATGTATAAATATATTTCAAGGCATTATTTAGAAGCATTTAGGAATTATTTAGAGTTTTAAATGGAGATTTAAAAAATAAATAAACATTAAGAAAAACAGAACAGCAGCACTTTTAATGCTTCCCAGTTGTGTTACCACTTACTTACAGGTCCCATTTTAACTAAGTGACCCTCCAACTCATTCAAGTTTCAAAATGGCATCTGGCTCCTCCTGTACCTACCCCAAACACTGACAACAAAGCTAAACATTCAAGATTTGAATTATGTGCTCCCAATAAGGCACACACACTTTTTATTTCAATAGAACAAAAAATGAAGAAATACATTCTTAGGTCCTTAACAACCTAGTCCTGTTCTTCCAGTCATCTCTCATTTGGTCATGAGACTCCCATCAATGTGTCCATCAGAAATTCCTTTACTATTGTCTTTGTCAAACCAACAGGGGACAAAACATTCACCTGGAAGCATAAAAGAGACTCAGAAACAAGGCCAGGAACAGCTCTAACAGAAATCAAAGCGCCATACTCAGACTACATCTCCAACACTCAAAAAAGCCAAACAATACAATATGAGGCTCTAAAAACTGAGATTCCAATTCATGAGTACAAAGATCATGAATCTTAATGTTATTCCAATTTTTATTTCCAGACATCTGACAAATGTAGTGCCTTCAGTGTAACCAAACTGGCCCATGTAAAACAATAAGCCTATGCTAATARTAAGCTGCCAAGCATAACTGGCAAGTATTTTATGCATATTCTGCTGTTCTTGTCACAACAAATAATGGCGTTTTTTTCATACTTGTTAATATCTGTGTGAGTAGTTTCTTCTTTAATTTCAATAAACAAAAGTGCTCTGGAGGTATGAATTTCATGAAGTAGTTCTAACAAACAGAATTGGATAAATTAGAAATTAGAAACCATCAGTAATGGGGAATAAGTGGAATATGAAGGATAATTTTAAAGACTCCAGAATAAACGYAGCAGAACTCCAAAACTCTTCCTTGGAGAATCATTACTCTAGATTACTAGACTCCTGTTCAGGAGACCTACATATAGCCTGAATAGTCTAATAGCTCCTTCACAATTATAAATCAGGTTGCTTATATGTAAAAGCAAGCAATGTGGAGAGAAAACAGTGCTCAGAACTCAGCTATTCACACAGTGGCTAAAATACACTAAAAGCACTGCATATGGTAGCAATAAGGGAGTACAAACAGTTCTATATAAGAAAAATTATAGTTGCAGTTTTTCAAAAACATAGCTTGCAGCTGAAAATTAATCACCAAGATACCTTTTTTAATAWTTTTTTTTTCCAGGAAATCTAACAGTTTGTGAGGCAGATACTTTTTAGAGTATCTGAGCAGTATTACTTTTCTCCCTTCAGGAATACATTTGTAAAAATACGTGATAAAAGAACAGAGCACACTAAGTTGGAACAAACTCTTCTAAAGGACTAAGGCAGACATCCTTTAATTCATCATGGCCAAGACCATATACACCACAAATGCATAGGAGGAAATGTCCAAGTATGAATGTGAACCCAAAATCATCAAGCACCATTTCTGTCTTCAGATCTGGACTGGAAAGAGGATTATCTGCAGAGAGACACTGTCTTTTTCTTCACGGCCTATAGATCTCAACAGTGTCAGCAAGATTTGTATGGTCATGGCTGTATGACAAAAATTACCACAAATGGAAACTACTGCAGATTCCTGTTAGATCCAAACCAGCACAGTAACTCCCTCCTGCAGTAAAGAACAGTCTTGTAGGCTGTTTTGTTTTGTTTTTTTTTAAATTGATTACTTATCACTAACATTGTCTACTATGGACTAAAGTTTCATACATGAAATACTGAAATAATATTCAAAAACTTCTACAGGGCAAAAAGAAAATTATAAAACCATCATGCCTTATATTGGTAAATCATTCAAGGAACAGTGAGTTGAAAAACAGCACATTGCGGCAGCCTGCTGTTAAATAATMAACTGCATTGAAATTGCTTACTCCCATATGCTTCATTCATAAAAACATTATTGTGAAGGACTGCAAAACTACTTTTTTTCCCATGAAAATACTTCATTATGCTACTGAATTCCAGTGTAACTTGACAAGTACTTGAATACTATTAAGAAATGTACAGAACAGAATGAAGTCTCCTACCCTGTACCTAGAAGTTCTCGTTTCTCTTGAAGAAACTGGAACTCCTGTATCCATAAATAGAAAGCATACGGCTAATTCATACATGTTAATGTCACTCTGTGAATATATTTGATGCAGTTGGTGCCATGTTGATGATAAAACAATAAACTGTGAAAAATGTCACTTCTCAAAAACTAGCTGGCCACAGTTCAGGAAGAGATAGATTGTTCTAACAGCTGCGGCATGACAACTTTGATAAATTACATTTTTGYTCTCCAGGAAT